TGGAAAAATAGTCCTTTTCCAGTTTTTGAACAGCAACGGATTTAAGCTAACTTTATGTGGCCAAAACGTTCTAGGTCTGTTTGGACATGGCCACAAAGTTCCTTCAATCTGGGTCCCCACAAGAGGTCAAAGGACATGTTTACAGGGTTGTAAGACAATAAACAGGACAGAAAGCTTTTTTCTTGTAGATTACTGGAAAAGAATTCCTCTTCAGGCATTTGAAATGACAGACATATGGAGCCATCGTCTCATTTTGATGGGGTCCAGAAAAATTAGGAAATCGCATATTAAACCATCTCTGCTATCTACATATGTTTGGTCACGTAGTGTATGACACTACACAGGCGATAGTTGTTAGTAGGTTAAATTCATTGACTCTTGTAAATACAGACTAAAAACGTGGAGATGAAGTTGATATCAGACTCAGAGCTCAAACTGTTCCTTTAAAGCTCACAGTTCTTTGTCACATTTTCTTATCGTTCTTACAGCCAACTCTTTTATTTCTCCTGCTGCAGGTAAAGTACTGTACACCGTTTATTGTTTTCCTTGTTTTCTAATTCAGGTTCAGTTTATTTTTTCCTCAGAATGATGAGGAGATGTTGTGTTGATGCAGAGAGTTCACCCAGTTAAGCTGTGTGAAGTAAAAGTCGCAACACGGACCAAAAAACGTCTCGGTTAGTTTGAAAGCTGCAGTTCATAAAGAACCGGCAGGTGATTCCTGTGAAACTGCATCAGGTTTTCTCCCTACGTTGTTTGACTGATGTGTGGTAAATCACTCTGTGTGAGTCAGAACAGAAGCAAACTGCTCGTCTTGTAAAATGTGTTGCTTTAAGTAGAATTTTAATAAAAGTTAGTGAGGAAACAACAGCAGGTCAGTGTGATTCTTATACACAGAAATCACTAGACTCGACGTATGTAGATGATACCATTATGAGTATTAAATATATTTTGTTTTTAATGAAAATAGTTATTTGGAAAACTTTTTTCTTTCATGATCTCAACCGGGCAAGTTTTCAAACCATTTTCTATCCTTTTCCTCATTTTCATGGTTGGAGTGTAACAAAGTATATTTACTCTGGTACTGAACTCAAGTCCAAATTTGAGGTGCTTCTACTTGACTATTTCCATTTAATGCGGCTTTCTACTTCTCTGCTACACCTCCGAGGTAATACTATACTTTTACTACACAACATGTGTTACTTTATGTCGTCCTCCCCTTGCAGAAAAAAACCTGTATCTCCAGGTGTTGGCGATAACCTGCAGGATGTAGAGTTCTTTTATGGGCTGGAAAAATCCTCCTCTTCCTTCAGCTCAACAAACTCTTTAACCCGCCTCGGATCAGCTGGAATATTAATCGTCACAAAGCTGAAAACATGCTGTTTTTCTGACTGTTTAGAGATGCGTGGTTCTCACAGGACAGCGACGCTACAAACACGATTATCTTATAGACCATGATGCATTGCTGCAGATTAAACTAACCAAACAGGATATCAAGGAGTTAAAATGAGCGCTTCACCTCTGCTGTTAGCTAACGTTACATACGCCACTCTTCACCAGCAGCAGCGTAATGTTGCTTCAAACTTGGGTGGCGAGAGAGCCAACAAAGCTAGCCAACAACCGACGCAAGGTCTCTTATGGTAACGATGTCAGAGTGTGTTGGCTAGTATGTTTGCTAACATCAACATCAGATTTATAGCTAGCAGCTAAACATCTCTGTGAAACCACTGTCTGATTTACTTTGCTAACAGCCAAACATCAAGCAAGAGTAACACTTTTATACAGGTAACGAGTGGAGAACAGGAGGGCTTCTTAAAGAAGAACTAACAGGTCTGTGAGAGATGGAATTCTTACTGGTTGGTAGGTGATCAAATACTTATGTCATACAATAAAATGCAATTTTTAAAAAATCATACAATGTGATTTTCTGGATTTTTTTTTTTTGATTTTGTCTCTCACAGTTAAAGTGAATTTTTGATAAAAATTACAGACTTCTACATGCTTTGTAAGTAGGAAAACCTGCAAAATCAGCAGTGTATCAAATACTTGTTCTCCCCACTGTAATGAGTTATTACTGACTAGTCCAACAGAAAGGCCAGCCCCCCGCCTATCCTGCAGCATTTCAGCTCTTTTACCCAGTAAAAGCCAGTCTGACTTTACTCGCGTCTGGTCTCTTGCTTGTTTCTCTCTTTTTCTCTTCCTCACTTCCTCTGACGTCGTCTTCGGTGTCTTCGCAGCCTCTGCCATGATATCCATACTGAAACTAGAGAGCTAGCATGTTCCAAAGAACTCACACTAGACATTATATATTTCTTGCTTCTTTTTATAGCTTGCTGAAGACTTGTGTTGGTGTGTTAGATTTCCTGCCCAAGATTCCAGGAGCTGGGGCCGGAGTAACAATGACAGACGCCATTCTCCCTGTAAGTCAGTGTGGCATCAAGATTATTTTGATAATACTACATAATGTTGCTTGAATGCATCAGTAATATTAATCCAGAAACATCAAATACAGCGGGTAAAATTAGTGAACACGTCACCAAATTTTCTGAACTGTTTTTTTTTTTTTTTTTGGATTTCTTGGGTTGTGACTAACATCTGGCTAAAATTTCACGTCAATAGCACCTTTAGAAATGTTTTCTCAGAAAAATGGTGACATGTTCAATAATTATTTTACCTGCATTTTAATAGTGAACACCATACACACGACAGGAATAGTTTACTGCCATGTGAGTACTTTTACCTTGATACATTAAGTGCATTTAGGTGATAATACTTGTAGTAGAGCATTTTCACAGTGTGGAAATAGTACTTTTACTGAAGGAGCTGAGTACTTCTGCCACTGACTATAATCACATCAACTTCATCATATTGATGTAAAAAAACAATTCTGCTGATCAATTAGCAACATGCTGCTAATCTAAAAATAAGCCAGACCTAATACGCGTGAATGACAGACATGAGTGTATAAATCAGTGTGAACGGAGCTCAGGCCTCGCAGCTGTCAGTCCATCAGTGTGCAGCCTCGTTCAGATGATGCTGTGATGTTGGACTGACAGTTCAGTCTTTGCTAGAAAACCTCCATCTGGCCGCAGGTTTGTGTTTTTCTTTGATGCATCTGAGTGACGTGTTTGATGTGCTGATGCCTCTTTTGAGTTGAAGAAATGTAACGCAGATTAAATGTGAGTTTGCTTCTTTCTGCGACGTGAACTCTGGAGAGTGGACTCTGCTTCAGGGTGGACGTGGAGGACGAGGCTCCTGCAGGAAGGTAAGACGAGCAGCTGGATCCAAACACCAGTGAGGACGTGTTCTCTGATCATGAAGATATGTGTAGATTTACATTTAGTTTCATATTTAAAGCTGCTCTGTGGTGCTCAGAGTTTGAGAAGTTTGGCTTTTGTGGAAAAGTGTTGCAGCAAACAAAGATCTGGACTCAACCAAACCTTTTTGCTCCACAGCGATCAGCTCATTTAGATGCTTTTAGTCTGACTGTGACGTGTTGTCACCCTCAAACTGAAGCTCATCTGATAAGTCATTATTAAAACGCGATGTATCCCGTGATGCAGCAGAAAGACGTCTGAGAGGATGAAAGCTAAAGTTAACTATGAGAAGTAGTTGTCGACTGCATGACAGGATCTTATATTATACGGAGGAAGTGTAAATAATCCTTTTAACAGAGTCATGAAATGATTCATGAAAGAAGAATCACTGTGAGGACTGTTGATATATTAAATGTGATTGATAAATAAATAAAGTTGGACTGAACTGAATGACAAAGTGTTGTGATGGAGTGAGATGTTTTTAAAGCCTGCTGCTGCCTGTCAGACCCCACTGAGGGATCAGAACCACCTCTTCACTTTTTAAACCTATGAAACACTGAACATCTTATTTGATCCCTGCTGTGGATTCATTATCTTTTTATTTTACAAGGCAAGTTCATTAAGAACAGATTCTTACTTACAGTAACGGCCTGGCAGGAGACAAAGGCCTCCTGGAGGGAACGGGATTAAATTAAAATAACAAACAGAAGAGACAACAAAATGAAGGGATAATAAAACACTGCAAGAAACATAATAACAGACGATAATCTACAGAGAGGAGACGGAACAACCAGGGCACAAGAGTTCAATGAAACAAGCAGGGCAACGTGACATAAAAAACAGGAGTTTGTGATTGTGCGTCTAAAAGTGGCCGTGGTGACTTCAGAGTTGTGTATTTATCCTGTTAACAGATTCAGCTGTAGGTGACGCCACAGTGCTGAAGGACCAGTCAGTGACGCTGCTCTGATTAAAGTTAATATAAAAGGTCTTTCAAACATATTTTATAAACTCTTCATATGCTTTGTGTGTAGAAATCTTACTGTGTAGTTACTAAATGTAGTGAAGTAAAAAACTCTCCCTCAGATGTGGCGTAGAAGTAGAAAGAGGCATGAAAATAAAATACTCAAGTAAAGTACAGGTACTTCAAACTTAGTGCTTAAGTACAGCAGGGGAGACCGGGGATGGTTGTAACATTCCTGTCTGTATCTCAGAGCTCTTTTAAACCAGGGCGTTCAAAATGTGATAGAAAGTAGTTCCATGTGTCTGCTGTTAAAGGGGCTATTTGTAGTTTTTCAATGAAATCACAACGGGCTGCGTATCACCAGGATTGTTGTAGCCCATTTTGATGTGTGTTATATGTTGTGTGGTAAGTTGTATAGGGGTGAAGCTCTTCCACCTGCACACCGGGGGCATAGGCAGAGAATCATGGTCGTAACAGAGGCTATATGAGGAAGTCACAGGTGAATAGCTAAGGGGAATTATGATCTGGGGAAGCCACACAGTTTTTCAACCGCGCTTGCGTGCATGTGCGTATGTTCGAGATAGATTGTGTCGTGTCCTAGCCTTAGCATCGTGTTTACTGTTTTTTTGCATACGTACAAGCTCGATTTACATCCGTAATGCTAGCAGCAGTGTTTTGTAAGTAATTTTATTCTGCATAAAAGTGTAAAGTGTTAACCGCGTGCCATGGCAGACGTGAGTTTTTGCACCGTTACGCGTTGGAGACAACTTCAAATTCCCTCAAGTCGCTTTTTTTTGTGGTACGATCGCCACTACAAGTATCATGTCAAAACTGTGGATTTAGCCTGCAAGAAAGGATGTAATGGTACTTTTCTGAGTACTCTCATACTTTTACTAAAGGAACATTTTCAGTACAGAACCATTACTTGTAACAGAGTACCATTACTTTGTGGTATAGGTACTGAATACTGTTAATACTTGCCTGTTATATTACCTGTGTGGTGACGCATTAAACACATATGTTCAGTAGAACTGTTATTCTAACGGAATAAATGATCATATTATGTCTGTGGTTGAAGGTTTTGTGTTGCTGGGGAGGAGGACTGAAGTCTGTCCTCGCCCGCGTCACTAAACTCACGGGCAGCCAATCAGAAAAATCCCTTCACGCGTTGCTAGGCAGGTCAGCGCGGCATCAGCCAATCGGATTGTCCGGAGCGGCGACGGGCGCAGGGAGCTGAGACAGACCGAGTGACAGCGTCCGAGTCCCGGGGAAGAACATCACGGAGCCTCCGTGGAAAAACCAAACCCTACACCGCAGTCAAGATGCCGAACAAACCCAAGAAGGAGAAGGTGAGCCGGCGGCTACGTGGGCCGTGTGACAGCTCGGTGTAACGGCGCGGAGCAGCCGTTAGTTCAGCTGATGGAGACTTTACCTTTCCCGAGTAGCGGCTAGCTTACATGCTAAGGCCCCGCTAGCAGAGGACGGCTAAGCTAACAGCTAGCTGCAGAGTTTCTAGCAGCATTTAACGTGTGTGTCTGCGGCTGTCAGCCGGTCAGACACGGTATTTAGTGAAAACTCCACCTCAGCTGCGGTGTGCAGTGGTTAACACGGCGAAGTGGGACGTTAGCATGCAGGCTAGCTTGACATTAACGGTCTGCTGGAGGTGGAGCTCCGGGGAGGGACCGCTGCATGTCCCCCTTAAATTATTCATCCTCTAGAAAACAGGCAGGGCTCGCAGATAAACCTGTGTGATGACTGTGACTCATACATTTATGTCTGCCTCCGTGAAATATGTGATGCTAACCAGCAGAGAGCAGGCGAGCCGTTAGCTCCGCCAGACTCCTTTAGCTTTTCAGCTGATTTAATCATGTGGAGAGCGTCTGATGGCCGGAGACTCAGCACGGGATCCGGATGGGTTTGGACTGTGCACAGCCAGCTGGTGTGTTAACATCCCTGCCGATTATTTCCCCCAGTCATCCATCACCTCTATGGTTGACTTTGTTTCCCCTAGACAGCCATTGGTTTAATATTTGTCATGATCCTTTAAAGAAATTCATTATTTAGTTGAGTTCAATGTGACATCTTAAACGTCTTGTTTATTCCAAAACCTGGAGGGATTAGGTTTTTAATGATATTAAACCGAAAGCTCCAGTTCATTTATGTGACAGTCAACTTTAAACCTCACTAACCAACGTGACACAGGGACACTAGGGACATCACGATACCGATACCAAGTGGACCCCAGAGTGAAAAATGAAAACAATAAAGGATGTCCAGGACAGATGAGAGGTGGTTTGATGCCAGTAGATTCATAAATGAGCGAGCTATTGAAATTACAACCTTACACTGTGCATATTAAATAATTTAATAAAATATTTAATTTTCATATCTTTTCTTTAGAAACTCTCAGGTGTGAAATCTCTATGTATACTGGCCGCGGTCCCTAACTCCTCCTGCAGTAACAGGAGCGTTGGACGGACGTTCAGTTCTTAGAGCTGCAAACTGCATCATCACCTTTGGTGATTTTCAGGTGATCAAACTGTGAAACGTCTGCCTGAATCAGCTCTCCAACAGAACTGGGAGAACTCAAGGCTTTGACACAGAGTTACTGAAGGTAACAACTGGTGCGTTCGCTGTCGCTTTACCTGCTCCGTGCTTCTAAATTATCCACTGTGTCCGCGTCTTGTAACGTAACAGATAACAACTCTCTGTGTTTCTCTGCAAATGCTAAAATGGGTGGTCAAATATACCTGTGCGGCTCGCCCCAAGCAAAGTCAATACGATGGAAACACTGACCTGCCCAGGTAGCAAAAGGTGGGCGAGACATGACCATCTGTAATATAAGAAACTCTTTCATATGAAAATGAACTTGTAACCTGAATATCTGCTGGTGATATTGAGCCTTACGTAAAAGGAAGAATGACAGCATGTGTTTTAACGGCTGTGAATAAAAACTAAATCTAAAAACAGGCTTGGTGAGCAGAAGAAGTACGAGGCTTTAGAGCTTCAGTCCGCCGGCTGCACGTAGTTCAGAGAAAACATGAAGATCCTGATTATTGATCTCTAATCAAAGTGCTGAGACAAACAGGAACAGAGCCAATCACAGTTTTGCAGTGTGCGTGTCAGGATCACATTCGCCTCGTGCTAACCTGTAGTGCAACTAGTGTGGTTACCCATGAAGCATGCTGCAGTGGATCAGAAACATGCCTTTGGTGTGGGAGATCGGGGGTTCGATTCTCAACACTTAACCCTTCGTTGCTCCAGAAGGCGTGCACCTCTGACATATATAGCAATTGTTTTGGATAAAAGCATCAGTTACGGTCGGCTGCTGCATCTCCTCTAACAGTCTCCTGTAGGAGTCCAGCAGGCCGGCGGCGGGCTGTTATTGATCCTGTAGTGCTCCTGATCCTGCTGAGTACAAACAGCTCGGGTATCAGTATCAGTCTCTGTGCGGATCAGGTGGACACTCTCCTCTCGCTAATGAGCCGCTGACGCCATCAGTCAGCAGTGAGAGTGGAAACGCTTCAGTGTTCGCCACGGGATTATCTGAGACTGCGGGGGGGGGCCTCGGAAATGCAGTAATCTGGTCCACTTTGAGAGGTTAAATCTATGAAAACCTTTGTGCTCAACAAATTTATTTAATTTAGTTTTCCCAGCAACCCAAAATTAAAAACTAAAGGACTCCAAAGTGTGTGAGCGTGCGAGCTGACAGCAGCTCTTTAATGTTACTATGAGAAGTGTAAAAATATTCCTGTTCATTTTGAAACTATGGTGGGACAAATCAGACTGTGGCAGGCGCCGTGGTCTCTGTAAGTAACGTGAAACGCTGGTACCATCCTCCAGCTCCAAACCTCTGCGGGCCAGAAAGAACCAGGAATCTGTAGCAGCCCCGCCTGAAACATTTCCCAGTTGTAATTTGTTTTGCTGTTGTTGTCTTTTTATTCTGCGTGTGAACAGGAAACAACCAAATCTGCCAAAAGCAGCATGAAGAACAGTAACAGCAGCAGCAGCAGCAGCAGCAGCAGCAGCAGCAGCGGGAAGGATGCTTCCTCCGAGAACTCAGACGAGGTGAGTCTCTGCAGTCTGACAGCGGCGTCTCCGGCTCGCCACGCAGCTCGGCGTCACGCGTTCACCACACTAAAGCGATTCCCACAGTGTGGAGCTGCCTCTGGGGGTGCGCCACAGTAAAAATGTGATGGTGGTGTAGTAGTATAATAACTACAGCAATTATCTTTTGGTGGAATTTTCATGAAATAAAAACTTGAATAGGAAAGTAATAAATATATAACGTTACATCGTGATGTTTGCTGTGTTTAAGCGCAGTGAGAAGGTAACGGGTCACTTTCAAGAGTGTCACTGAGTGAAACCCCGTAGCTGTGACTTCAGGCATGTTCACACTGGTGTAACAGGGACACTGTGCTGCTCGGCGTCACAGAAACACATTTTCAGATATTTATATATATATATATATATATAATTAACTAAAAGCATCAGCTAAATGAATTAATTGTAGTCTGGACTGTGGAGGACTGTAGTCTGGTAATATTACAACTTTTTGTGGAAGAGACGGACGTGCAGCTGAATGAAGGACAGCATGCACGTTGGTGTGAGGACAGTTTAAAAGCTGCTGAATCCAGAGGAGTCACACACCAAGCTCAGAGATCTGAAGTGGGAAACATTCTTCAAATAAAATGTCTGTATAGGTGACAGGAGGCAGTCCTGGTCCTGATGGGGGACAGAGGTTCAGGTGTAGTTTACCTGCAGGAACAGAGACGGTGTCAGAGTCCTGTCTGGATCAAAGATCCTTTCTCTGCCTTCATTAACCTGTTGAACAGACCAGGTGATGTTGGTGATCAGGCAACAGAACCGGTTTCTCTTCATGATGTGAAGTCCAGCAGACGTGCAGAGAGCTGCTGCTGAACACAGCTGTCATTAATTGTTCACCAAAACCATACAAAGGATAGTCCATCTGAACCTGTTGTCCCTGAACGCCTCATGTCATCATAAACCTGGTGTTAATACTGGCTTATTACAGAGAAATCACTGGGGGAACAGATGTTCAGAAGTGTTGTAACTCTAAACCTGTGTGTGTGTTCAGTCGCAGCAGCAGCAGAGTGGCAGTAAGCGTCCCAGTAACAGCACGCCTCCTCCAACTCAGCTCAACAAGATCAAATACTCTGGAGGACCTCAGCTGGTGAAGAAGGAACGCCGCCAGAGCTCGTCCCGCTTCAGCCTGACCAAGAACCGAGAGCTGCAGAAGCTGCCTGCACTCAAAGGTAGACCCGACACTAACCAACACCCAGCACTAACCTGGACCCCCACCAACCTAGACCCGACACTACCTTAGACCTGACACCACCCTAGACCCGACACTACCTTAGACCCGACACTACCTTAGACCTGACACCAACCTAGACCCGACACCACCCTAGACCCGACACTACCTTAGACCTGACACCAACCTAGACCTGACACCACCCTAGACCCGACACTACCTTAGACCTGACACCACCCTAGACCCGACACCACCCTAGACCCGACACTACCTTAGACCTGACACTACCTTAGACCCGACACTACCTTAGACCCGACACTACCTTAGACCTGACACCACCCTAGACCCGACACTACCTTAGACCCGACACTACCTTAGACCTGACACTACCTTAGACCCGACACTACCTTAGACCTGACACCACCCTAGACCCGACACTACCTTAGACCCGACACTACCTTAGACCTGACACCACCCTAGACCCGACACTACCTTAGACCCGACACTACCTTAGACCTGACACCACCCTAGACCCGACACTACCTTAGACCCGACACTACCTTAGACCCGACACCACCTTAGACCTGACACCACCCTAGACCCGACACCACCCTAGACCCGACACCACCTTAGACCCGACACCACCTTAGACCCGACACTACCTTAGACCTGACACCACCCTAGACCCGACACCACCCTAGACCCGACACCACCTTAGACCCGACATCACCTTAGACCCGACACCACCCTAGACCCGACACCACCCTAGACCCGACACTACCTTAGACCTGACACCACCCTAGACCTGACACCACCCTAGACCCGACACCACCCTAGATCCGACACTACCTTAGACCTGACACCACCCTAGACCCGACACTACCTTAAACCCGACACTACCCTAGACCCGACACCAACCTAGACCCGACACCACCCTAGACCCGACACCACCTAGACCCGACACCACCCTAGACCCGACACCACCCTAGAACCGACACCACCCTAGACCTGACACTACCTTAGACCCGACACCAACCTAGACCCGACACCACCTAGACCCGACACTACCTTAGACCTGACACCACCCTAGACCGACACCACCCTAGACCCGACACCACCCTAGACCCGACACTACCTTAGACCCGACACCACCTTAGACCCGACACCACCCGACCGACACCAACCTAGACCCGACACTACCTTAGACCTGACACCACCCTAGACCCCACTACCTTAGACCCGACACTACCTTAGACCTGACACCACCCTAGACCCGACACAACCTTAGACCCGACACCAACCTGGACCTGACACCACCCTAGACCCGACACTACCTTAGACCCACACCACCTTAGACCCGACACCACCCTAGACCCGACACCAACCTAGACCCGACACCAACCTAGACCCGACACAACCTTAGACCCGACACCAACCTGGACCTGACCTACCTTAGACCCGACACCAACCTGGACCCGACACTACCTTAGACCGACACTACCTTAGACCTGACACCACCCTAGACCCGACACTATCTTAGACCCGACACTACCTTAGACCTGACACCACCCTAGACCCGACACTACCTTAGACCCGACACTACCTTAGACCTGACACTACCTTAGACCCGACACTACCTTAGACCTGACACCACCCTAGACCCGACACTACCTTAGACCCGACACTACCTTAGACCTGACACCACCCTAGACCCGACACTACCTTAGACCCGACACTACCTTAGACCTGACACCACCCTAGACCCGACACTACCTTAGACCCGACACTACCTTAGACCCGACACCACCTTAGACCTGACACCACCCTAGACCCGACACCACCCTAGACCCGACACCACCTTAGACCCGACATCACCTTAGACCCGACACTACCTTAGACCCGACACCAACCTGGACCCGACACTACCTTAGACCCGACACTACCTTAGACCTGACACCACCCTAGACCCGACACTATCTTAGACCTGACACCACCCTAGACCCGACACTACCTTAGACCCGACACCAACCTGGACCCGACACTACCTTAGACCCGACACCAACCTGGACCCGACACCACCCTAGACCCGACACCAACCTTGACCCGACACTACCTTAGACCCGACACTACCCTAGACCCGACACCAACCTTGACCCGACACCACCCTAGCTTATGCTTCAGTGGGTGGTGGGAATCTTAAAGTAGGTATTGGTCTGTGTGTGGGGTTCCCTGTAGACTCCAATGTCCGGACTCCTGTCCTCCTCAATGTGGACGGCACAGTCCACAAGTCTCTTGGACGGATGAGGGATGAAACGTATTCAAGTATCTTCAACCAAGACCAGTTGCCCTTGATTTTAACCTTCCTTTGAGAACCATGACCTAGATGACAGAGAACCTTCACAGACATGTAAAACAACAGCTCAGTATCTGATCAACTTATATGAAGTGTGTGAAATATAAATGAGAATAAATACACGTCAGGAAGTCTTTAAATAGACTTCATCTGTACCGAGTACAAGCAGCTTTTAATGAATCTTCAACAGTACGATCAGGGTCTTCTCTGACCTCCTTTCTTATCGTGAACAGAGGTTTATTTGAACGGTGAGCAGTTGTTAGTGGTCCAGTCTTCTCTGTGGCGTTGGCTGACCACCACCCCCCTGTCCTCCTCAGACTCCCCCCTGATGGAGCGTGAGGAGCTGTTTGTTCAGAAGCTGCGTCAGTGCTGCGTCCTGTTCGACTTCGTCAGCGATCCGCTCAGCGACCTCAAGTACAAAGAGGTGAAGAGAGCCGGACTCAACGAGATGGTGGAGTACATCACGCACAACAGTGAGGTGGTGACCGAGTCCATCTACCCCGAGGCCGTCGTCATGGTGAGAAACCATACACACACTTTTATAAATCTTTTAGTCCTAATGAACTTAGTTCCATCCTCAAATCAGGTCTGAACCCTCAAGCAGGCCTTTAAGAAGTCAGGATGAACATGTCTTTGAGAAAGTGTTGTTTGCCTGCTGGCTAGCTTGCAAAGCACCCGACCCTAAATCCTATCCCTCCAGGTGGCGGGCCCGTAGGGGCGGCTCCCTGTAGATCTTTTGGGCTGTGCCCCGTGGGTCAAAACCTGGCCCCCAGAGGCTTGGCGACAAGCTCCCCTCCTGCTGCATGTAGGGTCCATGATATAAATAGTGAAGTAAAACTCATTTAAATGACTTGATGTTCTGCTGGGCTGCTTCATCTCTAATAATGCATCAGGATTTATTTGTAGATTATGTTCAACAGTAATCTCATTTATTAAATAATGTAGTGCAGTAGAAGCATAACGTAGCAGACAATGGAAATACTTAGTAAAGCACATGTACCTCAAAGTTGTACAAAGTGCAGTACTTGAGGAAATCCATTAACCACCCCTGATGTTTAGGGAGGGAGGAGGTGTCTCCTGGTCGCTCTGTTAGTAACAGCTGTGTGTGGTTTCCAGTTTTCAGTGAACTTGTTCCGGACTCTTCCTCCGTCCTCCAACCCGACCGGAGCCGAGTTTGATCCTGAAGAGGACGAACCGACGCTGGAGGCTGCCTGGCCTCACCTTCAGGTACACTGAGTGTGTGTGTACCGGTGAAAGCCCAGAGCTTCATCTTGGAGTTACGGTCGTGTTTTGACATCAGACAGTGTGAAACCTGTTTCTACATTATCCAGCTCACAGGTGTTTTCAATAAAGCTGCGTTTTAACAGCCAGGACACCGGAGCCCACAACCATCTTGTTTTTGCTGACCTCTGCTGGTTTAACTGTTGGTTTACTGATGTGAACTTCCTCATACTCAGAACCAGGGATGCAAACTGAAAAAGGTGATAAAGTGACTTCTGCCCGTGGCCTGCTAATTTCCTATTTAGCCCTCCGCCAACTTGAATGGGGGTAAAATAGTAACTGTGTGGATCTAGACCAGTGTTTCTGCATCAGGGACCCCTATACTGACAGAAATTAGACCACGGACCCCATCTGATAGGGTTTTGGCTTTTAGATGTTTTATTACAGACAGAATTCGTACATTGTGTCCACTGTGTTACTCATCATGTAAAATAGTAGTGAAAATAAATTATTCTCCTTTTGGCTTGGACCCCTTGGAACCCACTCAAGCCCCAGGGGGTCCCCGGACCCCACTGTGAGACTTTCC